CAACAAATATACCCTATACAACAATTATACTTTTCAACAAATTTACCCTAAACAACAAATATACTTTTCAACAAATATACCCTAAATAACAAATATACTTTTCAACAAATATACCCTGAACAACAAATATACTTTTCAACAAATATACTCTAAACAACAAATATACTATTCAACAAATTTACCCTAAACAAAAAATATAATTTTCAACAAATATACCCTAAATAACAAATATACTTTTCAACAAATATAATCTAAGCAACAAATATACTTTTCAACAAATTTACCCTAAACAACAATTTTTTTTTTAACAAATATACCCTAAACAACAAATATACTTATCAACAAATATACCCTAAACAACAAATATACTTATCAACAAATATACCCTAAACAACAAATATACTTATCAACAGATATACCCTAAACAACAAATATACTTTTCAACAAATATAACCTAAACAACAAATATACTTTTCAACAAATATACCCTAAACAACAAATATACTTTTCAACAAATATATCCTAAATAACAAATATACTTTTCACAAGTACACCCTGAACAACAAATACACTCTTCAACAAATATACCCTAAACAACAAATATACTTTTCAACAAATATATACTTATACTATTCAACAAATTTACCCTNGATAAGGGGTGGGGGGAATTGATAAGGGGGTAGGCGTGGTCGAAGGAGAAAGGTTGGGATAAAATAATGTTAAAGCTTTACTTTTTAAAACAATTTTTTTTCAATCAGTTTGGATTTTTTGAACGACGAACATAAAGTGCTAGTTTTTAGAATGTGAAAACAAAAATGGTTTCGAAAAACTCTATTTTAATTATTACTTGTAAATTGTTTTTTCTTTCAGATTGTTTCAAAACGATTAAATTCGTTTTAAAAAAATAAGAGAAAACTGTCCAACGCCTATCTTTTATTGTACTGTACCTGAACAAACTGTACTGTAAGAGCTGATTTGCCTACCCCTCCACTACCCAGCACGACTATCTTGTACTCGCGCATTCTTGTGTGTGTGGGCCGCGTATTTGTCTCACGCTTAAATAAAGTATACAGAATACAGTGGTGACCAGAAAACTGTGGAATGAATGTCGTCCTCTTTCATTCTTTCAGACTAAGACTCCTTTATTAACCTGATTTGCGCCATTTTTTAGGACTTTATTTCCCAGATTGCTTTAACAAACTCAAAACAAAGAAGACACTTATTTCGCCGTTTTCTGTTCACTTAGTATTTAAAAAAATGTATGGTATTTGTAATTAGACATATAATGAAAGTACGTAAGTAAAAATTCGTAGGCAATAAACAATATCAAGTATATATCATTTAGTTTATAAGACGCAGGACATACTATATTAGAATTAATATTATTCATATTGATTATAATGGGAAGAATTTTAATAATAAAATTTTACCGTCATATCCTTAAAAGGTTTATTCTCTTCGCGGTTGATAATTTTATAACTTTTTGGAATATCCTGAACTCTAAACTTTATGTATTTTTGTACTGTACTCTACGGATTGTTTACAATGTTCACTATGGATCTAGAATCACTGTACAAGTAGTGTACGCAGATTCATTCATTTTTCTCGAGATTTTTCACAAATCTTTCTGCTTTTTTCTAAACAAAACGTGTGGATTAAAAAATTTCATGATGAGATTTTTAAAAAACAATTTTTAACAATTATCTTGACAACTTTTATTTTATTGAGTCAGTAAACTACAAAGTTTGTTGTTTTCGTGAATGTTATTTCTTGATATTTTTTCATTTCAAGTTAAAATAGAAAATTACAGTTTTCCCAGTTTTGTTTGTTAATATCCTAGTTTTTGTATATTCTGATTTTAAAAACTTTAGTCTCCTACATACTTCATATGCCACTTTAAAAAGTTTTTATCTTATTGTTGCGCAGAAAAATTGGGGATATTTAGGGCACCTAGAAAAAAACCAAATATATAAAAGTTTTTGTAAAAAAAAGACTTTTTCTCCTTTAAATAATTTTAATTCATATCATAAGAATTTTAGAGCAAGACTGCGGAAAAACCCCGTTTTTTTCATTTCAAGATTAGAATTTGAATCTATTTTGCATTTCATCAAATATAAGGGCAGCCGTAGTACATTTGAATTTCCGAACCAGGTCAACCTTTCCGGTCCCAGTTTATACTGTATCGCCCGGACATTGGGTAAATAAAGCAAACACTCAATAGGACTAGCTGGTGCAACAAGGTTGACGCGGTCAGACTTTAGGTTGAATTTACTTTTACTAAAGGGTCAGGGGTGCGTGAACAAATGCGTTCATCTCACAAGATATTTTTTAATCCTCAAGTTCCTTAGTATAAACTAGATGGAGAGCCATGGATATTATGAAGACAGCAAGGAAGCCTGTTTGGGTTTTAGTAGATGTATTCTCTCTGTACAGTGTACAGCAATCAATATTATTGTCTTTTCTTGTTTCTAACAACGATTTACATACAGTAAAAACCTGGGTCCCTGCAGTCGTAAACTTATTATTTTCTTAGCCAAGTCAATTATCATACCATTGTGCATTGAAAAACTATATTTTTAAGATTGTGATTGTCATATTTTAAAAGTTCTAGGACGTGGTTACCGCTTTCCCTTAATTTTGTTCTAACACTATTGTTAATAACGCAAGAAACCAAAGTTGAAAAGAAGAAGAAGAAGAAGAATATCTCATTTATCTTGATCAAAATAAGATTGTAAGGGTATCGTGTACAATCGGACATTTTATTGATCCTCTGCCTGATCCAGTCGTTAAAGGACTGAAAGATTGTAATACTGGAGAAAGCATCAGAAATGGATGCAAGGAAATCAGTCATTCTGGCGCATTTCTAGGTTCTAATCTGAAATATTCGGAAATGCGAGAGAAAATCAAAGATAATATATATATAGATATGCAGGCAGGTAGAAACCTCCTTCCTAAATTGCTTGTAGCAGACAACTAATTTTTGAACCTCTGAGAAAAGGTGCAAGGAGAGACATCTATAGCAAATTGATTACTTTCTATATTCCTTTCTCCCCTTGCTGCCTTCTGTAGGAAATAATTTGTGTTATAAAAACATACAGTACGCGTATTGCATCCTGTATAGTTCAAGTGTTGCTATCTGGACCTATTTGACCAATAAAATTAAATTTCAAGGTAACACAAACATACAGTACGTGTTTTGTTTGTTATGATCAGATCAGTTGTACTTTGTCCTAGATTCGATGTACTTTTATAGTAATAATTTTTATTTAAATTGCGTTAATTTACGTATGCCATTCAGTACAACTTGCACATTTAAACTTTGTCTAGTCAAATTCCTACCTCAGTTTTATTTGCATTGATTAATTTGTTTCACTAAGTACAATATGCAGTATACATTGTTGATACTATAGTACGCATTTAGTGTTATCACGCATAAACAAAGTGATAAATTAGCAACAATCCAGAGGATAAAATGCCATGCGTACGACAGAGATGGTGCTGTTTGCACCTTTTCTTTTTACCTGCCTGCATATCTATACATATATTATCTTTGGAGAAAATACTTCCCCAAGTGATGTTTAAAGAATGTTTTTCTACCGTAAACATTTTCTGCATTGCGGTAAACAGGAAACATACGGACGTACACCAACATACACACACACAATACACAAACACTACTTGTACATGCAAACTGCAGAGGCGCAACTGGTATATTTTTTTGTGAAAATGTATCTGCAGTTAGGTGCACCCCGGATACCATTTATATGAAACCCATTTATTGTGAATTTTTGTTGGACAAATTCACCATGAGTAAGCCCTGTTTTTGTCCAGAAATTAACCCCCCCCCCCCATTCTTTAGAATTAATCAATGCTGACTTACATTTAACACTTTAACAAAAAATTAAAATTCTAACTTTTTTATCCTCTGTTACCCCCGGAGTACTCAAGGGTTCCCTCAAAAAAGTTGAGCCAATTTGGTACAGCCGTTTAGCCAGCCATAGCTAACAAATATACATATACAAATCTATATATTTATATGAGCCAAGAATTTTATAATATTGCAATTAGATAAATTAATACAGCCTTCCATCTGTGCAAGTATTGATATATATATATATATATTCTAATCAGTATAATATTCTTACATTTTGATATATTTAAAAG